GCCAGTACTGACACCCCATCTCTATCCAAACCAAACCTAGATGGGTACTCTGGCCTCTGTACACACCCCTGCAGGCAAATAAGGTGCTGACTGCCAGCCACCTGAGAGATTGATACACCTGCACTGGGTACATCTGTTCCCACTGTACTGTTACCCTGCCTTGCATGGCACTGAACCCATAGGAGCCTCCTAAAACAGCAGGCTGACCTACAACAGCAGCTTCAGTAATCAGCTGGATTAAGGGATTGAGTCCTTTGTACAGTAGTCCTGACTTGTCTTCACTGAGACTTGTTTCAGAATGAAGCCAGGCTCAGGAAAACACCAGCCCCCTCCATCTGTGTTTCAGGCAAGTGCTGGGGGAACTTGCCCTTTATGAGGTGGGATTCACTGGTGGTCACTTTTAAAAGGATAACCTTCAGGGGACAGGGAAAGAAAAGCACCCCACATACTGTTCAAGCCCCTATCCAGAGACAAGCATCTGCTGTCTTTCCCTCTGCCAGGTCTAGCAGCTAGCAGGCCAGTTTCCAGCGCATTGGTCCCCTGGGTCTCTGAGTCACAGACAAGTCTGCAGCTTCCTCTGAGAAGAGCAGCCAAGCGGGCGTGCAGATGTCACTTCCTGCCGCTGCAGCTTCTTCAGGGCTCTGTAAGCCTGCACAGCCCGTTCCCGCTCTTCCCCCAGAATCCGCTGGTGGGCCAGTGAGGTAGCTGGAGTCAGGGACCCACCACCAGCGCCCAAAAGCATCTTTAACATTAGAGACTTCTTGCTAGGCGCATCTCTGCCAATGCTCCGTCTAGGCTGGACCGTCAGCTCCGGGGGCTGTAGCACAACCTCTCCAAACTCCACAGTATCTTTCAGCAGCTCCTGCTCCAGCCTGTCCACTGCTCTTTCCTCCCTTTTCTTCTGGGCTTTTTCAAGACGCCGCTTCTGGAACGCTTTCTTCCGTTCAGACTTCTCCTTCTTGGGAGCTGCCTGCACCTCTGGCTGCCAAGGGGCCTGGTTCTTGCTAAGGAACAGCACATGCTGGGCCTCCTGTTCCATGCGTTGGACATAGGCCACTTCAGACTCCCCCTTCCTCTGCTTGAACTTGGGGACAACGATGTCTGTCTCTTCTTCCCCCTTTGCTTCCTTTTCCAGTGTCTCCTTGAAAGCCGCCTGGGCCTCCTTCTTTCTCTTCTTGTTGCTGAGCTGTTTTCTCATCTCCTGTCGGCTCCTCATAATCTCTCGGAGCAGGAAAGGGATTTCTTGCTCATCTTGATTCTTGGGCTTGCAATTCACTTTCTTCTTTTCTTTGCTGCGCTGTCCCGGCCGTGAGGCTAAGCGCTGCTGTCCCTTCGCCTGCTGCTGCCGTCGCGCGTGCGGCTGTCCCGAGCCTCCAGGACCCGCCGGGCGGGAGCCTCTTGCACGCCCGGGCCCTGCCATTACTACTCTTTTTTATGTTTTGTGAGTTAAAGTTTCTTTTCTTGGTAGACATGTGATAGACCAATGAGCTAACTCTTGGAAAATAATTTTAATGGAAATAAGTTGCACAGTAATAAGATGGAAGAACAAATGAAGAGATCTTCAGTACTTAAAATTTCAAGAACAGCAGTGTGCCAGTAGAGGATCCTTTCCTGGTGTCAACTTCTCAGGGGTGAACACCTATCACACTAGTAAAGAAGAGTGACTCGCCCTCTACTGAACAGCTATTAAATTCTAATAGCTCCCCAGCTAGATGTGCGTCTTCATGCCCACTTGTGCCACTCTATTTTAGGAATGTTTAAAGCTTGAGCTTGCAATGTCTTCTTTAAGCTGTCACTTGCTATAATTTGTATGTATATATAGCCAATTTTGTCTCTAAAACATTGTTTCCTTAATGGTATCAGCCATCTCTCTCATAATCTTTCCATTTACACTTTAGAGAAAATTGATAAGCCCCAGTGGGAGTATTTGATATGTATGTTTGAATTAGAGCTCAATAGTTTGTAATTCTTATTTTTTTTTAACAATCACCACTTGTTGGGGATCTCCAAATAAACTGCCATATACTCTAAGAAACTCATGTAAGAAAGAGTAAGAGAGATTGTGACCTGTTTTAGCAATACGTCATTAGAAATCATTGGAGTATCTCCATTTAGCTATAGCATGAGTAATAAAAACTCAAAGATAGATATGGAGTGAAGATAGGAAAAGCAAAACAACCAGCAACTGGCTCTTACCTATATCTCAGACACAAATGGTGATCCTACCTATACAATTTCTCAGAATGAGATTGACATGGACCTATATCCTTTAGTCTTATATTCCTGTATCCTGCTAGGATTAAAGGAGTATATCACCATCACCAAGCCTCTATGATTAGCTGTTATGGCTACTGGGATTAAAGGTGTGTGCCACCACTCTCTGGCAGTGTATGGTTGACCAGTTTGACTGTTTTACTATTTAAGTTTTACTATTAGCAATCATAAAAACATGTTTGCTGCAAAAACAAATAATGAGTATCACTTGCATTCATCAAATTCAACTTGGACTAGATTAGTTTATGTAGGATTAAATTGCATTTTATATGATACCAATTTAGTATAGACTAGTAATCATTTAGTGGCATAATATTTAAAAGTGTGACTGATCTAGCACTGTGAGGTAAAATGTTGGGTGACTATTTATGGAAGCAGACAGGACATGTTCTCATTTCATGTTCATAGTGATCTTTTTTTCTCTAGGCAATCACCTACATGGTTTTTTTTCTCAGGTATTTTCTTCACAGTGAAGAGAACTATATTGTCCACATTGGAACTCAGTGAAAATAGAAGAGGTGACAGAAGAGCACTATTGTAACAGTGATTCATAGAACTCTGCATCTGTGTGCAATTTTTAACTTCAGGGAGACTCAGTAAACTAAATTTTCAGTGTGTTCTAATCTATGAGAAAAGTTTATTTTGGTTGATGTAATAAATGTTATCACACCGAATACACCTGAAAAATTTCATGGCTCTGAAGACAAATGTCAATCCCTGAAACCTAGCAGGGTAACTGCAGGAATTGGAAAATAGGTATGCATCAGACCTGTCTGAGTAAAGATGGATTCCTGTGTGTTCACTCTTCTTTGCTTCCTATGTTTTCTATATACTGAATGAGGACTTGGGTTCTTGTACTCAATTCTTAAACATGGTGCATTCCACTCCTAGTCATTATCTTTCAAGATATTGCATCTCAGTTTGGAGAATATTCTTTGGCTTTGAATATTTTTTCTGTCCTGACAGACCTGCCATTTTAAATATCCTTAGCCAGTATATCAAGTACCTCATTAAACCGTGTCCTCCAGGTAGGTGGGAGTGAAGAGGTTGCCTAGTGTACTATTTTTAATGTGTTTTCTGTATATTCTGAAAATGATCTTCTTTGTATGATTCACTTATCTAAAATAACAACCAAAATACCTTAAAATGCAACAAAGATTCAGGATAATTTACCTATGTGTGTCATGATGAAATCCCAATATTCATCATGTTAATTTTCATGATTGGTTTGACTGGAAATTTGATCTGGACCTGTAGCTCTATATGACTTTCATTTTGTAGAGGACACACTTCATATTAATCATATTTAAGCAATCCTTTCAACAAACTCACTTTCTGTTTTTGTGAAAGGTGATTAGATTTTTTTTTCTACAAACAAAAGAAATAGAATACACAATGCCCCAGGTACTGGAAATCACAAGTAAAAAAATCATGTTAGTGTGTAAAACATATATATAAAAAACTGAAGTGGGTTGAATATGGTAATTAATCCTCGGAATACACAGGCCAAGGAAGGAGTTGTGGGATTTCGAGACCAGCCTAGCATACAGAGTGAAGTCCTGTTTGAATTTCTCTACTTTATGAAATAGATATAACACAATGAAAACTTTATTTGTTATACTTCTAGGTCCTTTGTCAGTCACACAACCCCACTGGTTTCTTGGTAGGCTAGGACTGTGGGGACATGGGGTCATATCTGACCTGTGCTGAGATTTTCCTCAAGGGATATATGTCATATTAACTCATAAATTTCTTGTGCATTTGCTCTTTGTTAATGCATTTCCCATTTAATTATACTACAGCTGAGAACAGTACCATGAATATCAGCAGCGACACTATATTCCTTTCTGTTTGTTTGTTTGTTTTGATTTAGGGTCTCACTATGTAGTTCCAGCTGTCATGAAATTAACTATATAGACTAGGCTGGCCTTGAACTCACAGTGTCCTGCATATCTCCATCTCTTGCATGAAAGGACTAAATGTATTTGTCACCATGTCTAATTGAGGTAGTGCAATCTTAAAGATGTATTAAGAGGTTCTTGGTTAAAAAAACTACTACTTTTTTAAAAAAATTATTTTTCCATTCAAAAATTTCCACTTCCTCCCCTCCTCCCATTCCCCTCCCACTTCCCAAATGCCCCTCCTCCCTCCCACTCCAGTCTTAAGAGAGAGTAGGGTACCCTCCCTTGTGGGAAGGCCAAAAGGCCCTCCTCCCTTCATCCAGACCTAGGAAGGTGTGCATCCAAATAGACTAGGGTCCCAAAAAGCCAATACATGCAGTAGAAACAAGTCCCAGTGCCATTATCAATGGCTTCTCAGTCAGCTCCCATTTTCAGCCACAATCAGAGAGTTTGGTTTGATCACATGCTTGTTCAGTCCCAGTCCAGCTGGATTTGGTGAGCTCCCATTAGATCAGGCACACTATCTCAGTGGGTGGACCAACCCCTCATGGTCCTGACTTCCTTGCTCAACTTCTCCCTCCTTCTGCTCTTCAACTGGACCTTGTGAGCTCTGCCCCGTGCTCTGATGTGGGTCTCTGTCTCTATCTCCATCCATCACTGGACAAAGGTTCTATGGTGAGATTCAAGATATTCATCAGTGTGACTATGGGACAAGCACAGTTCAGGCACCCTCTCCTCTGCTGCCCAAGGACCTAGCTGGGGACATCCCCGTGGAAACCTGGGATTCCCTCTAGAGCCAAGTCTTTTGCCAACCCTAAAATGGCTCCCTTAATTAAGACATATTCTTCCCTGCTCCTATATCCACCCTTCTTCCATCTCAACCCTCACACACCCCAAAGCTCTCCCCAATCCTTCTGTTCTCCCTTCTATATACCCCTCTCCCCTTCCTCCACTCCATCCCTATGTGATATTTGTCCTGTTGAGACTCTAACTTCATATCAATCAGAACTCAATAACCCTTCCAACAATTTCCATTACATTTTTGTGATGGGTGATAGGCTAAGAACAACAAAAGTAGCAGTAATTAAAAAAACTACATAAAACATATTGATTGCCTGCTCATTGGAAGGATCAAGAAAAAAACTAAGCCTTGTCGCCCCAGCTCTGACCGCAGCCACCATGGCCCAGGCAGACATTGCACTGATTGGACTGGCTGTCATGGGCCAGAACTTAATCCTGAACATGAATGACCATGGATTTGTGGTCTGTGCTTTCAATAGGACAGTCTCCAAGGTTGATGACTTCTTGGCCAATGAGATGAAGGGAACTAAAGTGGTTGGTGCAAAGTCCTTGAAGGAGATGGTCTCCATTTTCACTATGCCACAAATAGCATAAAATATCTTGGGGTAACTCTAACCAAGGAAGTAAAAGATCTATTTGAAAAGAACTTTGTCTTTGAAGAAAGAAATTGAAGAGGACACCAGAAAATGGAAGGATCTCCCCTGCTCTTTGATTGGGAGGATCAACATAGTAAAAATGGCAATTCTACCAAAAATAATCTATAGATTCAATGCAATCCCCACCAAAATCCCATCAAAATTCTTCACAGATCTGGAGAAGACAACAATCAACTTTATATGGAAAAACAAAAAACCCAGGATAGCCAAGACAATCTTATACAATAAAGGAACTTCTGGAGGCATTACCATCCCTGACTTCAAACTCTATTACAGAGGTACAGTATTGAAAACAGCTTGGTATTGGCATAAAAA